CGCAGGTGCAGCAGTGTCATTGCTGAGTCAGTATCTACCAGCTGTTATTATACAAACTGGTATCTTACATTTCATCATTATTTCCTACTGTGTGAGTAGGAAAATATTGTAATGTTTCCTGGGAAAAAGAATCATGAAGGTCTCATAAGACTTATGCCAAATCTCTCAATAATTTGAAAACAAAAAGACTCCACCACGGAATAAAGTTTTAAAACTTTTCAAAAAAAAAGTGGGGGTGTTTATTTGCATTGTGGGTCAAGAAATACTTTAATCAACTTCCTCATGTCTCTTCCACATTGCATTGTCCCAGTTCTTGTCCCAAGCTCTACAGTTTCACTTAAAAGTAAAATATACACAACCAACTCCAGGGAACAGAAATGACTGTTAATCAGCCTGGCAGAATTCCTGTGGATTCCCCAGTCTGAGTACGGGCTGTCCATTTTCAAGTAACTTTAACAGTGACTGCTGTGGCATTCATGCCTTCAAAATAAGGCAACGACAGCCTTTCCTTTAAATGGTTCTCCTCGGTGCCCTTAGCATCCAGGCTGTACCAGAATACTAAATCCCACAGCAATCCCATCAAAGGGCATGCATGTTGTATTTCTCAAGCCCACACAAGCAAAAACTCAGTTCACTTCAGCGCAGAATTTGCCAAACAAGCTGGAGTTGTTCCAGCGCAAAGGCACCTCTAAAAACATATATACACAATTTAAAGAGTAATTTACGTTAAGAGTTTTAGTTGCCAACATTGGATCCAAACACAGCCCTGAGTGGAAAGAGAGGCTTTGCTCGGGGATGTTCTAACTGCTTAACGCACTGTTGTCACAAGGTGGCAGCCATACACCAGGCAAGAGCTGAAGAGCCTGCACACCCACACGGGTTTGGAGCTGTCACTCTCCCTCTGCCAGCCTTAACAGTTTCCAACTTAGTTTCACCCAGAGGAAATACAGTCCGCATTGCCATAAAACGAGCAAGTAAATTATTTTATTAAAAGTGACTAAACAGATCTACAATGGTTGCTTAAAACATGTCACCTCTCCTCAATTACGGTACAGTAGGAAAAATTTCCCACAATGCTGATTTCTGGGTCATAACCAGCAATGCATCAAAATGATGAGTTACACCAACAAGAAACGCTGGTTTCTCCCATGCTCGGCATGAACAGGTAATTCCCTGACTGCATCAATGAAACCCTGGCTGGCAGCAAGGACAAAGAATATGGACTACCTCAAAGAGCCAGGACTCAAGGTAACCATCTAATAATTTGCTTACAGCATCTTCTAGTACAGATGAACTGAGATTCCACTTGAAATCTTACAAAAGGGACAGATGTTAAAAGATGCTAACAGTAAACTCTTTATAGTCTTCCTGCGTTCAGGATGAAGCGATGTTTCTACGCAGCAGGAAAACCTGGCGTCAGTAGTCACTGGTGTACAAGGGGGATAAGTTGGGGGGAAGACGGACATGTATTCTTGGGGCTGTAGTAAAAAAACTGGGGGTCATTCTTTACCCATTAGAAACAGCAGTTCTCAGAGCTGCTGTGGTATCAGGAACAAGTCAGGGATTGTTCAGAACAGGAGAGTGAGGAATAAGTTAAACAGGAAAGCAGAGTTAGGAAGCGACCCTCAGAGCTGAACATGGTCCTCTTCCCAAGGAAGCAGGTGCTTTGCGTGGATGGATAACACATCTTTTGCTCCTTTATATGAGAATTTGTTCTAGAGCATGTTCCTCAAAACACAGTATGCACGGAACAGAAGCATACATTGAATACACTTAGAGCAAACACACCTGTATGCACACATGTATTCAACATATGGATCAAACACATTTAGACTGCACAGCAACATCTAAAGGTCATTTACCCACTGCAGACCACATGAACTCCATGCAAAGAATTTAAAATGTTTGGCACGTACAGTAAACAGTATTACAAAATAGATCTGTAAGAGAAATAGGCAAAGCAATGTGGTTAGCACAAAATGCAAGATATTTCCTCAATTTGAGACCAGGAAATAAGAATAATCTTTTTGCTGCATTCATTTTAACAGCATCTTATTAAATAGCTTGGACTATGTTTTGTCACCACGGAATACTTTCCAAAGTCTCTGACACAGAACATACAAGGAATCCAAAAGGTCACCCTGCCGGCCTCTAAATTATGACCAGAGAGAAGGAACACAGGCTGCATCTCTCCCACCTTAACCTCAGTTGCTTGAAAGTTAAGCATTCAGTCGAAATTACTCATCTGGTTCTCTCTATAGTCAGTGGAGAGGCAGAGGATCTCACTTCACCCTAGGAAAGGTCAGATTGCTTGTCCACTGAGGGTGGCTCTTTTTCTATTAACTACCAAAGAAGCTTAGATTAGGCAACAAAATGCTTAGATGGACACCTACCCTTCTGCTGGTAAAGTCAGATGAATTGAAACCAATGGACATAAATCAAAACCATGAGGAGTCTCACACCTGATTAGGGCCTTACTCAATGGCGTCAGCACATACAAGTGGCAAGGAATAAATTAAGCAAGATGTCATGCAGAGATAATGTATGCATTTATCCATATTCAATATTATATAGACATGCTTTGTTTGCTGATTGTGCAAGAAATGTCTTGCCTATTAAAAACGCATGTGCTGGTTTTTGGCTGGCACAGAGTTAATTTTCTTCATAGCAGTTAGTATGGGGCTATGGTTTGGATTTGTGCTGAAAACAGTGTTGATAATACAGAGATGTTTGTGTTACTGCTGAGCAGTGCTTACACAGACTCCAAACCTTTTCTGCTTCTCACATCATCACTGCAGCCATGAGTAGGCTGGGGGTGCGCAAGAAGTTGGGAGGGGACACAGCTGGGACAGCTGACCCCAACCACTCAAAGGCATATTCCATACCATATGACGTCATGGTCAGCACATAAAGCTGGGGGAAGAAGAAGTAAGAAGGGGATATTCAGAGTGATGGCATTTGTCTTCCAAAGTAACTGTTACGTGTGATGGAACCCTGCTTTCCTGGAGATGGCTGAACACCTGCCTGCCCTTGGGAAGTGGTGAAGGAATTCCTTGTTTTGCTTTGCTTGTATGTGCGACTTTTGCTTTACCTATTAAACTGTCTTTATCTCAACCCATGAGTTTTCTCACTTTTACCCTTCTGATTCTCTCCACCATCCCACCATTGGGGTAGTGAGCAAGCAGCTGTGTGGTGCTCAGCTGCCGGCTGGGGTTAAACCATGACAGTCCTTTTTGGCTCCCAACGTGGGGCAACAAAAAGGACTGTCATGGTTTAACCCCAGCTGATAATTAAGCACCACACCACCACTCGCTCACCACTCTGCCCGCTGCCCCAGTGGGATGGGGAGTAGAATTGAAAAAAAACACCTCATATCCAACAGGTGGAAGAACCTAGTAGAAATCCATTTGAAGTGGTAGTCCCTGGGAGTAAAGTGGCTTTCTCCTTATCCTCCCCGAGTGGCTCACACACTCTTTTGCTTCATTAAGCACAGTTAGGCTTTTTCCTGCTGTCAGCAGCATCTGTGCAGAGTGCACCAATTTACTCCAGTTTACCTGCCAGACTGGAGTGCTGCCATCAGCATCAAAGATGGGGGAAAAACAAATGTCACAAATCCTGTTCTTACCACTCTATCTTCCCTCTGCTGCAAAAGTACCTCATTTAGGAAAAAACTGATTGTGTAGGGTCTAATTCTTTCCAGTGACGGCTCCAGCTGTCAGGTATTGAGAGCAATAATGAGATAGACAAGACAGGTTTTTTAAGGAAAGGAAGAAAAACCCCAAAACCAAAAAACCTTCAAGTCCTGAAAAGTCCTATCTTCTGGCTTAGCTGTCAGCATTGCCTTGCAGAAAGTGCAGGCTGCCACATCAGCCTGTGTTTCCCAGAAGACATTTTCTGTAAAGACAGGAGATATCTCAGGCTCTCAGCATCCTGCCATTGCTTCCTCCCCTCAACGACTAATTGCTTTTGCATTTCTGTAGTGGTGGAGCTCATCCCCAAGAAGAGACTTAGTACTGAAATATCCTGTTTGCTCCTGATTAACCCAGACAATAGTTATACAAGAAGTCAGTAACACTCCTTCCCAAAGTAAAATGAGGAATGAACTTCTCTAAAAAGGAAAATGAACAAAGATTATGCAGAAAATCTGATTCTTCCACTGCAGCACCATTTCTGTGAACTAAACTAGGGAAAGCACTAGCTAGAGCAGGATGGGAGAGCAGCAGAGGTTGTTCCAGTCTTTTTCCTTGTAAAAAACAAAACAAAACCCACCACCAACAACAAAAAACACAACTGAGAGAGGACATTGGCTGAACAGAGGTTTGGTACTGCTGCTACTGCCCACAGGGACTCCACCAGCCCTGAGAAATTCAAGCTGCTTCTGTCCTTGAGCTAGTGATGAACTTGCCCTGTATTTACTTTGCATCCTTCCTCTTCACTGTCCCCTTGGATAGGACCAGCCCACGTGCTGTCACTGGGAGGACTCCACGATGCTGTAGTAGTTCTGCTGAAGTAGTGTCTCAGGTTTCAGGGAAATACTGTATTTAACAGTTAAAACAACAGGAGCTGTCAACACTGTGTAGGCTGTGATTTAGTAGAGGACAGACTAGATAATCACAGTAGTTCTTTCTAAATATAAGCATGTATATATTATGTCCATGTTTGTGTACATACATTTATAAATGTGCATCCATGAGACATGTAATACATGGAGATGAGTAGCACATCTTGGTCTCTCAACTCTGAATCTGCATGTCATCATACCAGTCCATGCCCTGCCTGATGGATAAATGCAGTGTCCAGAAGACTGTAATATGCCACGCTCCTTTTCAGTTTATCTCCCTTTCTTTCCTTTGTTCTTGCAGTTCACTTGGTAAACGGCATGACCTGCTTTCCTCATCTAAGTCTCTCCCAGGAATTCTTTTTCTTCCCAAAAAACTTATCACATTAGGAAGGACAAAGAAGGAGAAAAAGATGCTTTGCCTGAGTGATCTAGGAGAAGTCAGAACGTGCACATGTATCATACAGTATTTAATACTGAGCCTTCCTTTTTTCATTATTAATTCCAACCGCCCACCCACAACTGTGCATTTAGGGTTCTCACATGACTCATGACACATCTAACCAGATGATACATTAATCAAGGGAGAAAATATGTGCCAGATGCTTTACAAGTCAAAAGATAACTTGGGCAGTGCATAACATGCAACGAGAAAGCAGTGTACTGACCAGCTTAGACCAGCCTGAGAAGTCTGTCCAATTGAAAGGTAACAAAACATACTGTCTTCTAAAAACTGGAGTTTGACATCAGGTTATTAAAATGAGATTATTCTCTCCTCTGCTATTGACCACAGAAGGCCAAGAAACAATTTAGGGTGTGAAGTTCAACAGCATTACATATCTACTCTGGCCACCCACAGACACTGGACTGGAATATGTACAGTATCACCAATTTCTCAGAGAGAGAACCAGAAAAAGTGTGTACAAAGTTGCATATATGAGTTTTTGTAACAAACAACTTCTACTTAAACCAGCAGCAATTATCATCATTAAAAAATTGGACCTTGGATGCTTAACAACATTTGGAAAATTCCAGCTTTCCTCTAAAAATACACTTAGTAGAACAGTGTAGCATCAGTCCAAAAGCTCTCTGAAAGCTATTAACCTCCTGCCAAATCCAGTGTTTTTTCCCACCCTCCCTAAAATTATGATCTATATCTTTCTATTATGTGTTTTCAAGTATAATTTCCTCTCTTCTGAGTCATCTGTGAACTAAAGCTCCAAATGTATGTCATAAAAGGCATCTCAATAAAAAGAAAGAAGAAAAAGAAGCCCTCCCAGGAGGGCTGGGAAGAAGCTGTACACTTATATTGTCTGTTATTGACATGGTCTTTTGCAAATGAAATGGCAAGACCAGGTTTATCTAATCAGAGCAAGTTGTGAAGCTTGGCAATCTTCATTTACAGCTGTATGTATTCTGTCCTTGTATTTCAGGTTCAGATGTGCCTGAGAAATCAAATGCAAGTCCAGTCAAAAGCATTTGGACAATGTATTTGCTAGAACTGGACCCAAACCAGTATAGGCCTAAAGCTCCAGAGCAAACTGTAGCTCTCTGTGAGTGGAAATGTAATTTTGACCAAATGCAGTTTATCACTCAACAAATACAGTTCTTAATCCCATGGAGAACCACTTCATGGTCCAATGAGTTCCCACCTGATAACCTCCTGCCTGGTTCTTTTCTCTCCTAGTGCCCACTAAGGGGCCTTTTTTGATACACATTTTGGATTCTTAAATAACTAATGACACAAAATGAGAAAAGGAAAAGATAGTTAAAAACGATTAATACATGTGTAGCTTGAGCTTGAGCTGAGAAAGCAACTGGACTGCATACCAAAAAGTTCCAAATAATTTCAGTGGGGCCAGGATTCCTCTTCCAAGCTGAAAGGCCATTTAATTGATTTATTTGACTTCAAATATAATATAGGCCACAGAAGACCACTTAGAAATTCCTGCAGCAACAGAATGTTTTTTTCTCCCTGTTATGTAAGAAAATGAAATCCAGTCCAGTACTTCTAGATGCTATTTTTAGGGAGATTAGACATAAACTAGAACTCCCATATGGGGCAATTTCAATTAATGATGATTAGGCTGAATATGCTTTAAGACAAAATAATCTGTCAAGGAAGAAAGTAATTGTGGATGTGGAAGGAGAGAGAGAGCATTTGTGATCTTTATCTAGTCCAGTTCACAAAGCACTCCTATAATAAATCAACATTGAAAATCAACACAGTAATACAGCTCTAAGCTTCCAAATAATTTTCTCTTGAAGGTGAAGATCATTTTTGCACACAGAAGTGTGACCAGCAGGTCAAGGGAGGTGATTCTGCCCCTCTACTCTGTTCTCGTGAGACCCAACCTGGAGCACTGCATCCAGCTCTGGGGCCCCCAACATAAGAAGGACATGGAGCTGTTGGAGCAAGTCCAGAGGAGGGCCACGAAGCTGATCAGAGGGCTGGAGCACCTCTCCTATGAAGACAGGCTGAGAGTTGTTCAGCCTGGAGAAGAGAAGGCCCTGGGGAGACCTAATTGCAGCCTTCCACTACCTGAAGGGGGCCTACAAGAAAGCTGGAGAGGGACTGTTTACAAGGGCAGGGAGTGATAGGACGAGTGGTAATGGGTTTAAACTGAAAGAGGGTAGATTTAGATTAGATATTAGAAATAAATTCTTCATTGTGAGGGTGGTGAGGCACTGGAACAGGTTGCCCAGAGAGGTTGTGGACGCCCCATCCCTGGAAGTGTTTAAGGCCAGGTTGGATGGGGCTTTGGGCAACCTGGTCTAGTAGAGGGTGTTGCTGCCCATGGCAGGGGGGTTGGAACTAAATGATCTGTGAGGTCCCTTCCCACCCAGGCCATTCTATGATTCTCTGATTTTTCATCAACAAGAACAGCTAACTCCTAGTCTAGACTCTATCTGAAGAAAAGTTCTCTAATTTTCAATCATCCCAATGAATGAAGTGTTTCATCTAAAGGTTTCAGGTTAAGGTCTATTTCAGACCATTGTCCCAGGTTTGATTTCAAGTATTTCCACGCTACTTTTGTGTTTGGCTGTTGGTTTGGAATGCAACACTGATTACTTTTTATATACTATATAGATGTTAGTGGAGAGGTTACCTTGAGAGATGAACCTTTAGGACTGAAACATTTAAATGGCTTCTTGTCTTCAGATACACCATCTTCTGGCATCTTTTGACGTTTCTCAGCAGCTTCAGCCCTTCTCCTTTCAATTTCTTCCTTCATCCTCCTCTTTTCCTCCTTAAAAAAATATGAATGGTCACTTAGTCTTTCAAAAACTACATCACCATTACAGGGCTTTGCAGCCCTGCAAACATTTATGAAATTTTCTAAGAACAGGTTTTTATACCACTCAAAAAAGTTCAGTGACCTATCCAAAATTTAGCAATGTATCACTGCTAATCCATCACAGTGTTAAGGAAGTGGGGAAGACAGGTAGTCTGTGCTGCTTTAGTGTCTCCTCACAGTGAGGTCACCAGATTTATTGCCATATAGTGCCACTTACAGAGAGAAAAAAGTACATTTATAAAAATACTCAAATTCAGTTTCTCTATATCCTCATGTATCATCTTTGGACTGTTCTTCTGTCCATCTGCTTTGGCACTTGTGCCAAATTTAATACTTCACAAGTTAAAAATCAATAGGTGCCAAAAAAAAGTGAAGATTAAACGCTTACAGTTTTCCTTCCAAAGAGAACACGAGTTTTTACTTCATAAGCTATGAATCAAACCAGAAGCCCTCAAAGCACAACTATTGTGAGCGCTGGTCAGCAGGGTCTGACCCGCAAAGTATTGTGCAATCTCAGCATCTATTCAGTTCTACTGTAACGAGCTTAGTATATTAAAGCAATTGGCATTCAGCTGCCAAACATTATTATTATTCACCTACTGTTTGTTTTCCAAACAACTAAGATTCCTAAATGATGCACCAGAGATCTGGAAATACTATTTATATAGTCCCTTGGCAGAGGAAGCACAAGCAAACAGATGTGCTTGGGTACTCACTATTTAAATAGACAAGAATATCTTCCTAATGAGATCTAGCCCATCAGAACTATATATAACATTACATTCCAGCTCACCTGGAGCAGACAAATTTTTACATGCACTTTGTAATTCAATCTGTGTAATGCCAAAGAGACACCCCAAATAAATTAAGAACTCTGTGGCTATAAGACTGCCCCCAACATTTTGCATCCCCAAGAAGATAAGAAATTGGTAACTATCACAGATGAAATCCTGACTCAGGAAGACATTTATTAGAGCCCTGTCTTTCCTGAGGGTAGAACCGTAATGTTTCTTTCTACCCTGGATGACTGCATGTTTTACCTTGGGTCCTCACTAGAGCATCTATGTGATGTGGTCATTTGATATCAAATATAGCATACTTGCAGTTAAATCTGAAGGTTAGAAAATGGGTTGATTTTAATGCTGGGTAGCATATTGGAAATCAAGGTCTGTTGTGACAGACTATCTCTTGACAGATGCTAAGAAACAGCGATGCCCAGAAGAGCACAGAATCCAGAGGGCCTAGATAAAGGGTGCGATTTGAAGCAAAGTCACGGCAGCAATTCCCCACACAGCAACATCAGATCCAAGAAGGAGAAGCACGCTTTGGCCTGTATGCTTGGGTTTGGTTTTGCCTTCCTTGTTGCACACTCCTTCCTCACCTATGAGCCAGTCTCCCATAGACTCATTCTGTCCTTTAGTCAAACACAGATCCATCGATCTCCAGCCCCACCAACTTCTTCGCCTAAAAGTGCCCGTGGCAGACACTGCTGTAAAGAGTTATCAACTAATGCAAGGCCAGTGGAAGGCCATTTATATCCCTACGAGGGAAAAAAAACAGTCCAATACTTCTTATTTTACACTTACCTCCTCTCTAACTTTTCTTTCAGCCTCCTCCTGCTTCTTTCTCTGCTCCTCTTCCTCCAGGATCTTCCGGCGCTCCTCCCGCCTTTTCTTCAGTTCGTCCAGCTCTGCCGCCGCCTCCTGCTGCTTCTCCTTCAGCTTCTCAAACTCCTCATTCTCTCCTCGGCGACGGCGCTGATCTTCTAGCCGCTTTCCAGCCTCGACCTGAGACCCCGGCTTCGCTTCATCAGCATTTGCGGTCCCTTTCAAATTGGAACGGCTGGGAAAGAAATGAAAAGGAAGGTGATGCACCATGGGTTTTCCCTTCTTGGCTGGAGTCACACACTGCCATGCGCTCACCAGCAACACAAGAGCCCGGCACTCAAAGATACTGCCTTATAAGACCTTTTGCTCCTTGCAAACTACAAGAGGCCCAAAACATTTTCATTGGGAGTTAGTAGGCTGGGATACTACAAGGAGAACATCTCCCATCCGCTGACAGTGAGGAAGGAGTCTCTCATGTGCTTGTGTGCACAGGAGTTGCACCACCCTGCCCGAGAACTCAGGCCACGTGCGTTTTTAAAAGAATTCAGTAACTGAGCTTGAAATATTTAACATCTCGTGTAACTTCAGCAAGAAGTATCATATCACATCACCATCTCTATGGTATAAACTGTTACAGTTTCATACCTCTGCTCTACAGTTTGTGTACAGAGGAAACCCTTCCAAAAGCATATTATACTTCATACAGAAAACAAAGCAATGGAAAGCCATAACTAATTCCTCTCTGTTCATTTTAAATGAGATAAATTTACATACAAAAAACATAGCAAAAATATTATGCTATGTTCTGAGTAATAAAAGATGCACTAATCCTTTGCTTTCAAAAGCAAGTATTTTTTATAAACCCTCTAGAAAAATACAAGCATCTTTTGGAACAGAATAAATTACTTGACTTGGAGAAAACAGAAGGAGACACAAGAGAGAAGAGAATCTTACAGCTTCAACAGTGTTTTAAACACCTAAAAAGGTTCCTATCTCATCTATAACACCTATCACTCGAACTCTCCCAGTCTATATGAACAGAAAGGTTCATCAGATCTTTTGCTGACATTTTCCAAGGAAAATATGACTTTTTATTAAGGAATTGGAAATTATTTATTAATGGCAACTTTCCACAGGAGAAAACCATAAGTTTTCCAACCAGCTGTAATATGTGAGACAGAAAGAAAGAATACAAAAAAAAACCCGACCCAAAGAATTTGCATAGGTGAAGTGCATACTTTCAACAGAGTCAGATAGCATCACCTAGTTAAACAATTACCACACCAGTGTTTAGACAAACGTCTGCTCCCTGAGTGCGTTTAATATTACTGCTGACAAGGAGATAGGTACATAAGAGGTATCAGTGTGCTATTCACAGGAGACAGAAAGGGAAAGTACTTATGGATTTTTTTTAAAAAAACCCACAACCTCTCTGCTCTGTTCTGTTCACATTTTAAAAAGCTGGATATTAATAACTTCATTAATGCAACCAGAGTGTTGCAGAGTATAATACCACAAGATGGTACAAATCAAGTGTTCCAACAATAATAATAAATGTTAGAGACAATCAGATTAGAGCAAATATCACATAAATTTGCAATCTGGTGAATCACACCCAGTCCTGCAAAGGTGCTCCTCATTCAGATAGATGCCTCATCTAGATTGAATTAACCATATAAAACAGGCTGTAGGACCAGTGCTGAATTATCTCTGGTTTCAATATCACAACAGAATCTACTAACACAGAGTCCTCTGCCCCTACATGATCTTACCAAATTGGATGAAATTCAGTTCTAGCATGGCATGCATGATTTAGGAATTATAACATTTAAAAACATATGGCAAAATAGCATAACCAAACTGATGCTGTTACGTGAATTCAGTTGCTGTACTTCATCTGTGCAAGTTCAACACTAAAGTAGTAGGACCTGGCACTTACTTTGCAATGTGTTTACTTTGTTTTAGAAAGTCTTTTCTATGCAAGAGTGTAACATCACAAAGTAAAGCTAAAGAAAAAAAAAATCACAGAGATTTGTGAATGCACATACCCCCAAGTAAACTCTCATCCTTGATTTTCTAATCTAGAATTACAAGTACATAATATATATTTCCCTAATATCACCTTATCACAATCCTTTTCTGCTCCAGGCCCTATTCCTGAATGTGTTTTTGCAGTGGAATCACTTAAACCATGAAAGCAGAACCACAAGATCACTCTCCACCTAAGTGTCAAGTTAATGTAAGTGGTCACAAATAAGGGCTTGCCTCAGGTAGTAACATCTAATTAAAGAAAGGAAATCATATTTTGTTTTGTTTTTTTTTAACGAAAAACACATTGTGCCTTGTGAGAAAACATTGGAAACTATTTGAAATTTCATTTAGCCCATTCAAAAACAAAGCAAAGACTAATACCTGAGGTGTGAGGTATGATATTGGGTGTCCAGCCTGAAATACCTCTGATTCAGTTTGCAGAGGTCTGAGAACCGAAAATGTTCTACAAGCCTCTCTAAGGCACTAAGTATTTCTAAGGATCCAGTGCATCTATCCTGCACAGGCCATGAGAAATCCCTGTCTAAGACTTTCCTGCTTCATTGCAAGGTTGTAGCCTCTATAGCAAACATCACAGCAACTTCACTTTTTTTTTTTTTTTTTTGCCTCTTGGTCTCTGAAGTTTGTGTTGCCAATCCATCCAGACCTGCAAGCTTTGGACCAAAGAAGATGCACGAGGTCACTTCTGACAGACAAAATAATATCCCCATCAACAGCAAATGCTCAGCCCTCAGAACTAATAGAACTAAGAACATAACATTTCCCAAGATTGTCTTAATAAATAGCCACTCTGTTTTATATCAGCATAGAAGAAAGATTAGTCCCTTAGTGACTATTTCAGTGCAGATAACCTCAATGAAATTAACAGCTACTCTCAGCTTTCAACTGATAAAAGCCAAAGGTAGAATCTAGCCTTACCATTTTTGTTTGGAGACCTCTGGCGACTATTTTGTCCTCCTTACAAAGAAAGACATTTAAAGTTTCTAGCTTATTTTATTCTCATGCAGTTTACAGGACTTCCTCTACTGATTCTGCATAATCCAAAATAGCAAACAATAAACTGGCAGTAATTGTCCTTATTTTCCTCCACCTCCCAAACTCCTCTGTTGTCAACAGATTCTGGGAATCTCTGTTCCCTAATGTTGACATTGGGAAATTAGTATTCAGATGCTGGGTGGAGGAAGAGTTTCGTAAGCACCTCTTTGGTGCTAAGAAATTAAGTTGGTTGCCAGCTTTCAGACAAGGAGGAAAAGGAAAGAAGTGGTTTGTGGGAGCCAAAAATGTCAGAACAATGTGAAAAAAACATGTTACATCATATTTAGGACTTTTGCAGTCCTGTATGAGAATAGGGAGGAAGGCAGGTGGGAGGGGAGATGGGAAGGGGAAGCCATAAAATGGGGTTTTATTCTGTATTTCTCTTACTGACTGACGTAGACGAACAAGACATAGATAAGATTTTTCTTTAGCCTCCACTAGGCTATTTTATTCTCAATCCTCACCACTGAGTGTTAGCCAAGTTACATGCCTCCTAACCGGCATCTGATATGTTCATGTAAAAACATAAAGAAAGATAGTTCCAAACAAAGCCCAACAATGTGGGGGCAGTTCATTAGAAAATAGGCCAAGAGCCTTAATTCATACCTAACAGCCCAACGAACACTAGAGCCTCTGCTGATGTTGCCAACCCAAGTCTTCTACTCAAGCTGATCAAAGGCTATTAAACAGGCTTCTTCCCACGTTTGGGAAATAGTAGAAGAAAAACAGAAAAAGAAAAAAAAGGAGTGGAAACTCAAATCTACATATTGCTACTAAGGCCTGTCTCCCACAGGAAGTAAAGCAAATGAAAACACAACAAAAATATTTTTAGAAAACCATTCTCATGTTATTGATGATGTGACCCAAGTCATGAAGCAGGACAGTTCTGAGCAAGGCCGATTTCCTGCTATTCCATCTCCATCTCTGTCTGTCTTTTGGCCTTAGGTCAGGGTGTCTCCAGGGCCTTTTGAACTGCATTTTATTTTGAGAAAGTTTGTTTTTCCCGGAAGAATCACAAGGGGAATGCTGAGATACAACAGCAAATTCCATCTGTCATACACAGATTTCTCAAGTGCCTGGAGAGCTTAACCTTTTCTTTGCCTGTGTCAATGTAAAAGAGGAAAAGATGTGCAGAAGGAAAAAAAAATAGATTCCTAACCTATTCATTCCTGTTTTCTGCTAAAAGGAAGAACTTCTACTCTGCTTCACATATCCGCTCCTTTTAGCAGGCAGAATCCTTTTTTAAAAAAACTTTTCACTAGGAATTTGTTACCTTCATTGAATTTCCCAATATAGCCATAAGGCCAAATTTTCGTTGAAAAGAAGAATAAAAATCAAACTGTGATACAGCTTATAAAAAGACAAAAAAGCTCTTTCAAGAGTTACGAACTGGACTGTGCTCCATGCTGATATGTAGAGTCTGATTAAAAGCAGGCAGGTAATTGGAAATAGGTTACATCAGTAAAGGTTGAAATCTGACTTAAAAAATTAGAAAACACAAAATCTTGGCTGTGGTCATTACTGGCCTCTGTGCAGATATTAGAAATAAATGTCCTTCAAGGAAGGAAAACCCCAGCAGAGCGAAAATAAGCCACGTATCTACTGAGGGAGCAAGGCTATTATTCACATCTGCTTTCTGTACTTCCTTTTGTTACCTGCAACAATGTGGGGGCAGTTTGTTAGAAAATAGGCAAAGAGCCTTAATTCATACCCATGACGCAATGAACGCTAGAGCCTCTGCTGATGGTGCCAGCCAAAGTCTTCTACTCAGCTGCTACAAGGCTATTAAAGAGACGGTCCCCTGCTCTGCTGTAACATAAGCAAGAATAATGCTCACTTGGAACTTACCCAAAAGCATTCTCAGTAGATTTAAGTTTTGGGGCAGTGAGTTCACGCTCTCCGTTCTGCGCCTTTTGTTCAGGAACTCCCTTCTTACGATCCCAGATACTTTTCATTTCCTCTTTGGGTGCTTTTCCTTTATCCTTGTCATCTTTTACCTGCTCAGGAGATACCGTAAATCATAGAACAAAAACAAAAAACGAACAAACAAAAAAAAAAAAGAAGTCACAATGAGGCATTCCAAATAACAGCTAAGGAACACAGATTTCTTTGTATTAATGATTAACTAAGCAACTGTCTTCAACATGTTCGTGTGTTTTATGGCAGAAGTACTCTGTAAAGTTCTAAATTGTGACCAATCACCACTCTGCTGTCCTGATCTGAATTCAAGATGCAAAGATCTTGAATAACATTATCAGTCTTCTGTGAAAGTTTGTTGCGGCCGTGGGACTATGCTACCACATTGCTTCATTCTGCAACTGCACCCCACTGAGGCACCCCAACCTTTTTCTCTCCCGCTGCAGCTTCACCTGCTGCCTATTAAGATTCTAGGTTGCAAATTCTTTGGGACTAGGCTTGTTGATACATTCTCGGTACAAGGTTTAGAGCATTGGAGCAATAAAAATAACACATAACCTTCACTGATTGTCAGGTTTGCTAGACAAAGCTCACACATTCCAGTGTCATAGCAGATGGATACTTCAGTATTGGAAGAATAATGGCCAAAACACAAAATTATGTTTATATCAGAGTAAAACTTACTCTGACAAAAAGCACAGTCCTACCAGGGGCTAGTCACGCACAGTGTTACCAGTCGTGAATATTTAATCCTATGAAGAAGCAAATGTTCCCTCTGGAAACACTAGAGCAAAAATTCCTTCTATCCTTACAAAGCTTTGTTCAATAATTCTGAATAGTGATCAAGTATATTTAGTGCATGGATTTCACTCTCCCGTATTCCTTCAGAGCTATGAACGTGAAGTATTTATCAATAGCACAGATGGCCTGACCCCAGCATACTGAGTCATGGCTAGACGCTGATAAGAGGAGGAAGATATGGACTGATTTCCCACTCAGTTAGACTACCCGTCTAAATAAACTTCCACAGCAGCAGATGAAACATTTACCTCCAAATATTATTTTTTTCCCCAGCTCTACTATGTTGGAGGAAGATTCTAGCTGATAAGCAAGAAATACCTTCTGTGAAAAATTCATATGACAACCTTCACAAAAAAATACTTTTGTCCCTTGGAAGTCTGTTGCCATCCTATTTGCCAACTAGAAAGAAAAAGAACTTCCATAACAGTGCTGTCTGCAACACTGCAGCTTTTTATGGTGTTCCAAGCAGCACCTTGAAATAAAAAAACCGAATAGACACACAAATCAAATTTCTATCCTTCCTCATCAAAGTACAATGGCTGGAGATGCGATATTACCCATAAAGGATGAGTTCAGAGTCGTAAAGTCAAGATCCTCCTAAGGTGTTGTATTAAGCTGCTGAGTCAAGTCCCAAAGCCAGCTTCTGACTTCACCTGAGGCCAGTTAGCTCACTCACAGAAACTCATACAATGGACAATGCCAAGGTGGCACGCACTATGAGTACTGGGTGGTTAAACTACTTGAGAAAATTTGCCACTGGTGAGGGACGTTGGACACAACGCTCAGAAATATTCGCTCTGTCCTGAGAGCAGGCAGCGGCAGCACAGACTTTCGCCACCCTCTCCTGCCAACTGGCTTTATCCATGACCTGGCAGAAGCGCCCTGACGGACAAGAGGGGAGTTCAGTTTCCGTGACCATGCATTCTTTGGCCATGATGCTGTGACTGCTAGCTAACAAGGCCATTATTGCTAGCAGCCTCAAGGAATGGTTTCTGTTTTCCAGGAGCTGGGCTGAGACAACCAGGGCTATTCATTGAGCCTAATGAATGCCATCAGACAGTAACATCTTTGGGTGCTCCCAAATCTGGGCAAGATTGTAGCTGGTGATTGTGTTCACAGCAAAAATCTCTGCTGCCTGTTAACAATATCCTAACCCTTCAGTTCCAGTCAGGGCGATACTGAAGACAGTGATGTTGATTGTTGCAAGATTTCACATGCCAGGATGTCTGCGTTGGGATTTTGAGAGCATAGGATTTCCTTTGCTGACATTTTCATCAAGACCCTTCTAAGTCTCATTAAAAAGCCAATACTTCCATTTGCCTGATGTATTGAAGTCCACTGGGGAGGGTATATCTGTTACATCTTAATTGAAATCACTGAGAAAAATAATATTAAAACGATACATTTTAAAAATTGATAGGTTAGGAAATAGCATTTCAGAAGCCAGTAGGATTTATGGTAATGTGTCTGCACTTGAGAAAACCATTAATACAGCTTGGTCTTTTTATTTAAAAAAACGATAAAACAAGATATTACAGAAACATTTCACAGCTTTTGGGCCCAATCCTTCTCCTACTAATTTTAATGCCAAAACAGAGATTGATTAGCACAGAAGCAGAAACCATTATGTCCCATTCCAAAGGCAGGCAACAGAAAAACTACTTTCCCTTGTCTCAGTGCTTCCCTGAATTACAGGCTAATTCAGCTTCTGTTGAATTCAGTAAAAAGGACTACACTGACTCCAGTTGGAGTAGACAGGTAGTATTACCTGAACTGAAAACAATTCACATGCTCTCATAAATCTTGACCATCGAGACAAGATAGAACATGACCAAAAGCATGTTTAGCTGATTCCCAACTTTATTTATATTTTAATCTTCCTCTACACTGCTTCTTTCCTGTTAGGGCGTTTATGCTAATATTTGAGAGTTGAGATTTCTAAATCTAGAGTTTGAACACCTTCAGACCGCAGCGAATCAGTTACTGAGGTTAGGGCCATTTGGCAAATTTGATTCCTTATTTGGGTTCAATTACTTGGTGACTTAAAAGCTGTGGGCATCTGGGTCTAGGGCTTCCATTTAGAGCCAACTACCATACCCAAATACCATGAGAAAAGCAACTGTTGCGGCACGTCTAGCCAAACTGGAAGCAGGAAATACCAGGAGTCTCGCATCATGAGAAAGCTTGTTCTCATGAACTTTCCAGGCTGCTTTTGAGAATCAAAAATTATGGAGAAGTTCAGAAAAGAATTTTCTGAAAAAAGATTTTGCTTTCTAATTTCATCAAAATCTGAACTTTGAGGGCCAGATTTTGGTGCCACTAAGAAAGGATATGTGCTTGTGTTGCACAACTGCAAAAGCAAAATCTGATTACGTAGGTACATTGTATTCTTTCTTCATGATACACTGCCATCCTCTTAACTGCATATGTGGTTCAGAAATAGGCTCATTGAATTTGTATGTCCCTGAAAGTTGGGGCGGGGGGGGAGGGGGGGGGTTGAGCCTGATCTCAACTTGGTTTGGAGTGTGAGATTGTCAATTTTTCTTTGCGAGCCAAGAAGCAACAACTGAGATTTTCAAAACTGAGCAAAACACTTCGAAAGCTCAGCTTGATACACACGCAAAAGATTTACCTTTCAGTGGACGGGTATTCAGCGTTGCACTAAAAGTGGGACTCTCTTAAATTACCTCATCTTGAGCATTCAAAAATGGAAGCACTAAAATCACAAGTTACTTTTAAAAGCCTTACCAATTTCCTGGATTAATCTAGCCCTACGGCTATGGTTTAAAAGCATGATGAGAGCTTCAGTGAGAGTTGACTGAGCTCCACATAAACACAAGGAGGACAATTGTGTCTCAAGTCCTCCTCAAAATCAGTATTTGTGGTCAGTTACAGCCTACTTTTTACATTTGTTTGTAGCATTCAAAGATTGTGTGCAACACAGTGAATATTACAATCTGATTCTGTCTTATAAGAGCTTTTAATATAATCCATCCCTTATTTTTTGCACAGCTCTCTCCTCTGCTTTCACAATTGGGTTAGAGTGATTGTTTAGTTTTTCTAGTGGACTATTCTAAAGCACCTCCATTAGGTCTTTCTTAACTCTTCCCCTTTCTAGAGTAACTTATTCTAGTATTGCAATCTCTCTCCCTGTTCAACAGGAACCTTTCTTCTAACCATCTTCATCACTTCATCTGCCTTTTCAATCTCATGTGTACCTTACCCAAAATATGATGCCTTCGATGATTAAACCAGGCAACTGGACATAAAACCTTGTAACATGATTTGCTTTCATGACTCTCTGAGGGTGAGCTAAGCATCTACAGCATGTTCCAAATTAATCCAACGACTAAGGACCCTGGACCGGACTCTCTAAACCCTCAATGCTCCCAAGCAGCTGGACAGGCAGTGAGCTGCCTGATGCTAGATCTCTGTGCTGTGGCTCCCTTTAAGCCACACAGACCTGGCTGAACCCAAACAGGTCCAAACGTTCAAGGCCCTGACCAGTGTCAATGTCTGCTTAGAATCAGCAGGTATTTTGATACCTGCTGCATTGAACCAAAAGCACACTTGCTACACAACATTGAACATGGTTCCCTATGTCCAGCTGTAACCTGAAGAGTAAATGGTCCCCAAATCTCATTTACTTACCATACAGTAAAACACCGTGGCACCAGCTCCTGTGTTTACAGTGGAAATGCAATGCAGTAAATTTTGTAGATATTCTCTTTAAAACAAAAGAAGAATCTTGGGTATGCACAGTTTATATCATGGGGCATTGCAGTTTGGGGGAAAATCATTAGTTAAGGCAGTCAGGTGGCCAAAGGGCCTAGATTATTATTATTGTAAGAGTAGGTCTCATAGGGAAAAAGTTCAAAGTAAAGTGGGAGGAAACCAGGGAAGGATGATTAGTTGATACAGTCCTGAAAAATTCATCCCTAGGGTGTAAACCATCTTTGCATTATTGACAGAACTGAGTTTCCTGAAATATTTGTTCTACAGCAAACAGGACTTGGTTCTAAAGCCCCAAAAGAACAAAATACTTTAGCATTTACTTCATTTTAAGCGCATAAGTAGCTTCATCCCTATTTATTTCATCAGGATTACCAATGTTCTTTAAGTGAAGCACATGCTGAAGTACTCTGCTGAACAAGCAACTTTCAGTTATAGGTCCCTTATTTATTTTCTTATCTCAAGTTTCCCTA